TTAATTCACTTCAACTAACCAAGAAATGCTTTTCCCCTCATAAGCAAATAGTGAAACACTCTTCTAAAGGTGCCAATTTTAACTTAATTGCAACCTCAAGAATATAATGTTAGCTTATCCTGAGGTTTTTCCCATCTTGATATTAACCAGCAGCCTTTGCGACTAGTCCGATCTCACAGGACATTACAATACAATTAGACTAGTAATATCAGATCGCAGGCTGATAAAACTTTAATTAATTGTGACCTCAAAGTGCCTGGAGGATGGTTCTGATATCTACCTGAGCATGCTCCTGATGAGGTGGCACATTTTCTCCTCCCAGAACTGGATTTCAGCGTCAGTCAACTTTTGGATGGTTAGGTTAGAGGTATGATGTGAAACAACTTTAGGATACAGTTAGGGTTAGGAATATACTGGTAATGGTTAGGTTAAATATTAGGATTAAACATAACCACAGTAACTAAAATAAATGTGAGTCAGTGTCTTATATGGATAGAAATAATGATCCCCACAGACTGCCACTCTGGGTCCCTGAGCAAGACCCTTAACCCCACACTGCTCCCCGGTCGCCACAAAATGGCAGCCCACTGCTCCCCCAAGGGGATGAGTTAAATGCAGAGAGTAAATTCCCCCATTGTGGGAAAATAAAGGGATTTAATTACAAATAAAAAGAAGTTTGTGACTGTTAAGGTATATATGATGTTTCTGAACGGTTTTCCAGTGTCAACTCAAAATGGACCATCCCCACAACAGCCTGAACAGCAGAAAAGGTACAGTGATACAGCATACTTATGTGTTTCATGTTTGTTTTTATAACGTTTTGATACAGCAGGAAATAAACCTCTGTCTTTGTACAGGATTGAGCAACAAAAGCCGGAACAGCAGGAGAAAGAGCCCATAGGGTCAGATGCCCCTACCTGCTTTGTATCACCAGGTGCTCCTCCACCACCTCCACCACCACCACCTCCTCCTTCTGCTGGGCCTTGCCCACCAGCACCTCCTCCCCCTCCCTCTGGTGGTGCGGTCCCACCTGCACCACCACCACCCCCTGCTGGAGGAAGTGGAAAAGTTGGAGGACAAGGAGGCAGCACAGATCTTGCAGCTGCTCTTGCAGGAGCTAAATTGCGGAAAACTGTGAAGGTAAAGACACCTTGATGGCTCCATCATGATAATTTAAATTTTTGTTTTAGTTTTTATTTAGAGAATAGAGATAGAATGAAGCAGAATGATGAAAAAGGGGTCCCTATGTCCTCCAGCAGTCTAAGCCTATAGCAGCAGAACTATAGAGATAGCTCAGGATAACCTCAGCCACTCTAACTAGAAGCTTTATCAAAAAGGAAAGTTTTAAGCCTAGCCTTAAAAGTAGACAGGGTGTCTGCCAAACCATGATGCTGCCACTGCCATGTCTGACAGAGGGGATGGTGTGTTCAGGTTTGTTAAATATGGAAGTCAGGTCGCCCTGAAAGCGGCTGTGCCTCAGAACTTCCCTACCGGCTCTTTTACTGGGAGCAAGTTATTTACTTCTCTTAACTCAAACTGGGTGAAACCATATAAAAACGGACTATAAAACAGGAGTAAAAAGGTAACAGAGTTTACTCTCTCTCTGGCTTTAAACTTCTCCACAACAGTATCTAGGATCTGCCTGGTGTGATCCTTGTTCTTCCTGATGTTATCTGCGCTTTAAAGATCAAAGCAGGAGCATTTATACGGAGGCTAACTCTTACACACAGGTGGATTCTATTTATCATCCCTATGTTTTAGGCCTGAAATGTGGGGAAAGATTGAAAAAGTTCAAGTGGGCTGAATACTTTTGAGAAGCACTGCATTTAAAGGTCTACTTTAGTTTTCAATGTAAATATAAGAAACATTTATTTTACTTAAAATCAAAGGATAGAACCTAACTGGAAGTGTTTTTCTTTCATAAAGGATGATGGGGCAGCACCAGCTTCCAAACCATCATCATCATCTGGTGGGGGCGGAGGAGGTAACCTAATGGGGGAAATGAGTGCAATTTTGGCAAGGAGGTAAGTAATCTATATTTTATTAATATTTAAACAATTTCAAATATATTTTCTATTTTAATTTTTATGCCAAAAAGCCTGTTAATTTTAACTTCACATATAATTGTTTTCCAGCCACCAACACATATGTGTATTTAGAAATTTGTCTTCTGAATACACACTTTTCTCTTTAATCAAATATTAGTAAAAATTTTTTCTACCCATTAATCTTTAAGTATTTCAAAACATAAATGCCACAAGCCATGACAGACTCTTTGTGTAGTGGTAATAGGAGAACAGACCTATCAAGTGGTATGATGATGGAAAGCATGTGATACGTAAAGTTCACTCTATTTTGTTTTGAAAAAGATCTGGCCAATTAAAAAAACTTGGCCATAAAACTGAAGCTATATGTGATTTTTTTGCAGGACAGCTCCATGTGGTTGTTTAAACCAACACTGTATAACTTCTGTCTCAAGTATTATCTTACTTTAAATATATATCAAAGGACATTTCAGGTCAGTTAAGAGAGGTTGGCACATATCCATGTTCGGTATGAGCTGCCCTTCTAAAAAACTCTCCGTGGCTGGATGGGTCATGTGACCCAGGGCATGTATTTACAGCAGTCTTGCTAACTTCGTCTTAAAAACTTAGACTTAGACAGACCTTGTTGCCATTTTGTACACAAAACAAAATATTGATGCATACTGCATTCCAACAGCAAAGGAGCAGCTTAGCAGTGAAATGAACATTTCCATTTATAAAGTGCAGCAGTTTTCAAAATGTAAACAGTTTAGGAGAAAAGAAAAACTAGTTTTAAGAAATGGTGCAAAAGGCATTGATATGGCATGTTCAGAGCAGTGCAAACCCTAACTAACTGTAACTAAACTAACATTTGTTGTTAGATCTGCCCTTAGCTGATCAGACAAATATCTGGATGTCTGATGCAGGATATAATCTACTGGTTAGACGTTTCCTCATCTTCATCAGGAACTCCAGGACTTCTGCTGGTCCAAAGTGGCTGCATGGTGTTGTTTGAAGTAACACCAAGGAAGAAATCAAAGGAACAAAAAATATTTTACAAAGCAAATGAAAAAAATCACCAATATTGCAGCTGTAATTATTTATCAAACTGCAAAGACTGCTAACAAAGTCCAACATTTAAGGACGGCACCAGGAGAAACCCTGGTATCATTTGATGTTACTTCACTTTTCACGTGCATACCTATAACAGAGGCAGTGGAAACAGTCAGGAAACGTCTTCAACAAGATAATGACTTAAACAACAGGACTAATTTCACTTCGGACCAGATCTGCACGCTACTGGGCCTTCGTCTTTCCACAACCTATTTCAAATTCAGAGATAGTTTTTACAGACAGAAGCATGGCTGTGCAATGGGATCTCCAGTGTCACCAATTGTAGCCAATCTTTACATGGAAGGAATGGAAAAGAGAGCTTTAGACACTTTCAATGGAACACCACCAAGCCACTGGTTTAGATACGTGGATGACACATTCGTCAAAATCCAGCCAAAGGAAGTAGAAGCTTTCACAAGACA